GACTTGAATGGATTTGGGTGGGTCCCACAGTGTAAGGGCGGTAACGAGCAGGATGGTTGTCCGCCGCTCGTTTGCTTGTTCGCAGCCCTACTAAGGGGGGGGGGGAGGTCGCTGCTGCCCCAGCACACATCAGACGTTACCCAGCCGTCAACACAGCTGTACTTGCACCCCGCTGTTCGTTCAAATTCTGGTTGTGTGCTCATCTGAGGTTCCTTGGGCTCGTGGGCTGATTCCCCAGTCCTTCACTATTCGGCTGTCAACTCCGGACACCTACTCCAGCTACTACCGCGGCTGCCACGTCATCTCCACTTCCTCCACGCCCTATTCACCGTCCGTGCCCTGGCGTCTCTCCTGTGTGGCAAGACATCGCCCACCAACGCCGGCGCCAAGTGAGGAGGCTGCCCTTGACCTTCCCCCTGAGTGGATCACCGCTTTACGGAACATTCCACCGCGGCCCGGCCCGTAGGAAATATCTGTACATTGTTTGATTCCCGTAATTGTTTATTTGATATTTGTGTGAGTAGTGTCAATTTTTGTGTTTATTTTCGTAGTAATGAGATGTCAATCTCTAACGGTTGTTTGTTACCCCTTGGAAACCCATGGTTCTTGACTTTCTTTTTATAAGATCCTGATTAGGCTGGCAAGGGATTTATATCCCAAAGTCCCAGGCCTTTACACACAGAACCAACCCAGTCTGCAACGACTGCGTTCTTGGCCCTGAGTCACTTTGTCCTTCTGAAGTTGGGATGATCTTCTAGTAGTGTACGGGGCTGGTATTGGTCGAGCCCTTTGATTAAGATAGTTTTCTTGCTCGATGGTTGGGATGATTGTTCCATGGCTATTCCAATTATGCTATTAGTGAGGAGATCCTGTATGACTGCTGGGTCGTTTCTAATCAGAACATGATCTTGTGCACCGACTCTGAACTGAAACTCAGCATCTGGGTGTTTATCTTCCACCTCGTCCAGCCATCGATACTTGTCTTCAGGAGGTGTACCTACAGGGAGTTTAATCTTACTCTCATGGGGGGTTGAGGCTGTGGGTGTTGTTCTCTACGGTTTTCTTTCTTTGAGGCCTTCTACTTGTTTCTGGACTGCACTCGTTGAAAGTCATCCTCTCCGTTGGTGTCAAGGTCAACACCATAGTCGCCTGGCTCACTCAGTGCATCAGGAGAGTTAAAGCGAGTAGCTGGGTCTCCAGTCAACTCAGAAATGGTGGAGTTACAGGACTCGACTTATATGCCTGCGTCAGAGTGCTGGGGACTGGTGGCACTCCAAAGGACTCAGCGGTGGTTGGGAGGCGTAACCCTCTCATGAGACAAGGCAAACTGGCGTCTACAGCAGTGTGAGGGTAGGTAGGGACATATGTGAGCAGGCCACCCCGGAGGGGAGGGAGTGAGGGGTGTGGTGGCAGGAGTATTCTCAGATTATCAAACATTTGATTCCACTTGTTGTTCTTGCTCAATGGATGTGTGTCTTTCTGGTTAGATATGTATCAAAGTCAATTTCAGTTTCAAAAGAACTATCTAGCCTGGCACCATGTGAGGTGGGGAGTTTGTTTATACAAACCCTCGCCACATGGCGGGGAGTGACCATGAGGGTAGGCCTCGCAGGCACCTACACACACCACAGTGCTCAAGCCACGCATCAGTTCACGAATTAAACAGGCAACAGATTTGCAGTTGTTATCCTATTGGTTAAATAATCATTCAAGTGACTGTGTTAGGAAGGACACCTAACAACACTGTGAGAATTCTGTTCCTCAAAACCCAGTGTGTACCACCGTAATCATAATATGATCACAGGCTGTCCACACACACAGCCCTGCCCACACACACGCTGAGGGGAAAGTGACCTAAGTATCTTCCGTAGCTGACAAGGGTGAGCTTGTAGGGGTATGAGATATTGGTTCACATTCAGGATGGGATGGAGAAAGAAGCTTTCCAGAGTTCCCGCACTTACTACAAAGTTGCTAAGCTTGTTCCACTCGTCCACCACCCTATTTGTGAACCAGTTTCTTCCTATCTCCCTGCTAAACCTAAACTTATCCAACTTGAATCCGTTGCTCCGAGTCCTATCCTGCTCGGATATTATAAGAACTTTATCTATATCCCCTTTATTGATTCCTTTCACCCACTTAAATACTTCTATCATATCTCCCCGCACTCTTCGTCTTTCTAGGGAATGCAAGTTAAGTTTCTTTAACCTATCCTGATATGGAAGGTTTCTAAGTCCCGGAATAATTTTTGTCATTCTTCGCTGCACCGACTCTAGTGAATATATATCCATTCTATAATAGGGGCACCAGAACTGAACCGCATAATCGAGGTGCGGCCTGACTAGCGCAAGATATAGTTGCAATAAGACCTCTGCACTCTTGTTACTTACACTTCTAGATATAAAACCCAATACTCTGTTTGCGTTATTTCGAACATTAACGCACTGTTTTCTAGGCCGTAGGTCCGGGCTTACAAGTACCCCTAGGTCTCTTTCACAAGTCGACTTCTCTAGGTTGATGTTGTTAAGGCTGTATACATTATAAGTATTTGTTCTTCCAATATAAGTACGCTGCACTTGCTGGTGTTGAATTTCATTTGCCATTTTTCAGACCACCCCTGCAGTTTATTTAGATCCTCCTGTAATGCATTTGCATCCTGCCCTGAATTAATTTGCCGCCCTATTTTGGTGTCATCCGCAAACTTGCTTATGTCACTGCTGATCCCAGTATCTAGATCGTTTATGTAGATTATGAACAAGAGTGGGCCTAGTACTGACCCCTGGGGAACCCCACTGGTTACACGGCCCCACTCAGATTTAACACCATCTACGCTGACCCTCTGCGCTCTATCGGTGAGCCATGATTTTATCCAATTTAAAACTTTCCCCTCGATACCATGAGCCTTAATTTTTCTCAGAAGCCTCTGATGTGGTACTCTGTCAAATGCTTTGCTAAAGTCTAAGTAAATAACATCGTAATTTTCGTCATTATCTACTACCTCGAAGACTTTCCTAAAAAACGTTAGCAGATTTGTTAGACAAGATTTTTCCTTTGTAAACCCATGTTGAGAGTCGTAGATTAATTTGCTTTTCTCTAGATGCGATCGGATGCTTTCTGCTATAATTGATTCAAGAAATTTCCCCACTACTGACGTCAAACTGATCGGCCGGTAATTTGACGCTGATGCTCTTGTCTCCTTTTTTGAATATGGGTACTACATTTGCTTGTTTCCACAACTCTGGCACAACTCCAGTGTCTAATGATTTTATAAATAAGTTTACGAGGGGTCCGCTAATCTGTTCCCTACACTCTTTTAAGACTCGAGGGAAAATTTCATCCGGCCCTGGGGATTTTGTATTCTTTAGTTTATTTATCTTCTTAAGAACATCCTCTTTTCTGATAGTGATATTCTTTAATTTCTCTTCTTCCTTTCCCATAAGTATCAGTTCCACCTCCGGGATTTCATCGCAAATTTCATCTGTGAAAACTGATAAGAAGTAGCTGTTCGATGCTTTGCTTATTTCTTCACTGCCATTTATCAATTCTCCCCTCCCTGACTTTAAAGACCCAACTTTGTCCTTGACCTTTGTCCTATATACCTGGAAAAAGCCCTTGGGATTCGTCTTGGATTCTCTTGCTATTTTGATTTTATCGTCTCTCTTTGCTTTCCTTACATTTTTCTTAACATTCCTAGATAGTTCATTATACATGTTTCTGAGCTGCTCCTCCCCTCCCTTTAATTTCTTATATATTCCTTTCTTTATTCCTATATCATGTTTAAGGACAGTCAGGTTAGCGTCAGGTCAAGCGTCAGGTGCGTGTTGGGTTGGGCCATGGTTTCTCAGTGCTTGGTCGGCTTGATTGTGTGTGTTGTTTTCTTGTGTGGAGGAAATGTCTTGGTCTTCTGTCTTGGTATTCTCCATAGCTTGATGTTGATTTTCTTCTAACTCTCCTCCTCTTCTTGCTCTCTTGAAGTGTCCATTCATTCGTGTTTGGGCCTTGTTGTTCGTCTTCCTCGTGTCTTATGTCCTCATAGGTGTGGAAGAAGTCGGAGACGGTGAGGTTGACCACGTGGGCTTCAGCTCCACGGGCCTCGTGGTGTTCTTGATTCTGTGTGGCGGGTGTCTTTTCTTGGGTTTTCTTTTCTTGGTTTTTCTTTTCTATTGTTTTTTCTTGTCTTGGGAGCGTACAGCAAAGAGGGCCTCTTTGTAGCTCAGTTTCTTGTCGAGTCGAGCCCTGGCTATCCTGCATTCCTCCTTCCATTTCGGGCAGGTCCGATCGGCGGAGGAGTGTGGGCCGCCACAGGCAGCGCATTTTTTTTTACTGTGTTGGGGCAGACCGTGTAGCGGTGTCCGGGGCTGCCGCACAGGGAGCAGGTGTCCTCCTGCGCCTCACACTTGTTGGCAGTGTGTCTGTAGTGCTCACAGCGGTGTCAGGCCTTATAAGGCGGGGGTAGGCGTGGGTAGATAGTTGACCCCCGCTCCGTGGGCGGCGCTGGAGGCGTAGGCTGGGGAATTCGAGAAGGTTCGGTGCTTGTAGGGGAGGAATCCACTACAAGCTTTCCCCCTACTGTGTCTGTGAGAACTCTGGACAATGGTAATCCACTATCTGCCCTAGTCTAAGTGGTCGTTGGTGTGTTGGAAACAACATTGTGACACGTGTGTTTAAGAGATACATTCTGAACACTGGTCACAAGACAACTGACTGTTTCTACCAGTGTACCAAATTTATTCGCACCCACAAATATTTATTAAAAAATGAAGTTCTCTTAATCCTGCTGAATTTTTCACTGTTTTTCAACATTTATTACTAATAACACAAGCGGGATAAAACAGAATTAAAAACGAAAGTTAATATAATGATTATTTTAGCAATTCACTATCAAGAATACAGTACAGTACATCAATATCTTCATCACTACTGGCACTTTCTGGTTCCATTACATTACCTGTATATCTGTTCCTTACATCAAGTAAATACATTAGCTCCTTTTGCTTTTTCAGATGGCTGGGGCGGCCATCTTCGCCCTGGGTCTGTGGATCCTGTTTGACAAAGACATGGGTGACTACATCCCTGGCCTGGGGATGTTCAACTACTGGAACGCGACCACTGGCCTGATGGTCGCCGCGGCCCTCGTCATGGTCTCCTCCTTCCTTGCCTGTTGCGGTGCCTACTTCAAGAGCACCTTAATGATCATAGTTGTGAGTGTGTTATTTGTGTTGTATTAGCTGTGTTGTGTTGTGTTGTGTTCTGTAGTGTTGTGTTGTGTTGTGAGCTGTGTTGTGCTGTGTTGTGTTGTGATGTGATGTGTTGTGATGTTAGCTGTGTTGTGTTGTGATGTGTTGTATTGTGTTGTTAGTTGTGTTGTGTTGTGTTGTGATATGTTATGTTGTGATGTTAGCTGTGTTGTGCTGTGATGTGTTGTTAGCTGTGTTGTGCTGTTAGCTGTGTTGTGCTGTTAGCTGTGTTGTGCTGTGTTGTGTTGTTAGCTGTGTTGTGCTGTTGTGTTGTGATGTTAGCTGTGTTGTGATATGTTGTGTTGTGATGTGGTGCGGTGTTGTTGTTAGCTGTGTTGTGTTGTGCTGTGTTGTGTGGTGTTTTTGTTGTTAGCTGTGTTATGTTATTTGTTGTGTTTGTTACCTGTGTTGTGTTGTTCTTAATTGTGTTGTTAGCTTCATTCTGTTGTGTTGTTAGCTTCATTCTGTTGTGTTGTTAGCTTCATTCTGTTATGTTGTTAGCTTCATTGTGTTGTTGTTAGCTTTTGTGTTGTTACCTGTTTTGTGTTGTTAGAAATGTTCTGTTATTAGCTGTTGTGTTGTTACTTGTGTTGCGTTGTTAGCTGTGTTCTGTTGTTAGCTGTGTTGTAAGTGTAGTACATGATGTAGTGTGTTAATGTTTACTGTTGTTGGCCACAGTACAAGGTGTGTTAATGTTTACTGTTGTTGGCCACAGTACAGGTGTGTTAATGTTTACTGTTGTTGGCCACAGTACAAGGTGTGTTAATGTTTACTGTTGTTGGCCACAGTATAAGGTGTTAATGTTTACTGTTGTTTTTCGGGCCATTGTGCAATAAGGTGTGTGTTAATGTTTCACTGCTTGTTTTTCGGCCACAGTACAAGGTGTGTTAATGCTTACTGTTGTTGGCCACAGTACAAGGTGTGTTAATGTTTACTGTTGTTGGTCACAGTACAGGTGTGTTAATGTTTACCGTTGCTGGCTTCACAGTACAGGGTGTGTTAGTGTTTACTGTTGTTGGCCACAGCACAAGGTGTGTGTTAATTGCTTACTGGTTGTTGGCCACAGTACAAGGTGTGTTAATGTTTACTGTTGTTGGCCAGCACAGGGTGTAAGCATCGTTTACTGTTGTTGGCCACAGCACAAGGTGTTAATGTTTACCGTTGTTGGCCACACAGCACAAGGTGTGTTATCGTTTACTGTTGTTGGCCACAGTACAAGGTGTGTTAATGTTTACTGTTGTTGGCCACAGTACAAGGTGTGTGTACACGTTTACTGTTGTTGGCCACAGTACACAAGGTGTGTTAATGTTTACTGTTGTTGGCCACAGTACAAGCAGGTAAGTTAATGTTTACCGTTGTTGGTCATTGTGCACAAGGTGTGTGTTAATGTTTACTGTTGTTGGCCACAGTACAGGGTGTGTTAATGTTTACTGTTGTTGGCCACAGTACAGGGTGTGTTAATGTTTACTGTTGTTGGCCACAGTACAGGGTGTGTTAATGTTTACTGTTGTTGGCCACAGTACAGGGTGTGTTAGTGTTTACTGTTGTTGGCCACAGTACAGGGTGTGTTAATGTTTACTGTTGTTGGCCACAGTGCAAGGTGTGTTAATGTTTACTGTTGTTGGCCACAGTACAAGGTGTGTTAATGTTTACTGTTGTTGGCCACAGTACAAGGTGTGTTAATGTTTACTGTTGTTGGCCACAGTACACGGTGTGTTAATGTTTACTGTTGTTGGCCACAGTACAAGGTGTGTTAATGTTTACTGTTGTTGGCCACAGTACAGGGTGTGTTAATGTTTACTGTTGTTGTTGTACAGTACAGAAGTGTGTTAGTGTTTACTGTTGTTGTTGGCCTGGTACAGGGTGTGTTAATGTTTTGCTGTTGTTGGCCTGGTGCAAGGTGTTAATGTTTTACTGTTGTTGGCCCACAGTACAAGGTGTGTTAATGTTTTACTGTTGTTGTACAGTACAAGGTGTGTTAATGTTTGCTGTTTGTTGTACAGTACAAGGTGTGTTAATGTTTACTGTTGTTGTACAGTACAGGGTGTGTTAATATTTACTGTTGTTGTACAGTACAGGGTGTGTTAATGTTTACTGTTGTTGGCCCACAGTACAGGAGTGTTTTACTGTTGTTGGCCACAGTACAAGGTGTGTTAATGTTTACTGTTGTTGTACAGTACAAGGTGTGTTAATGTTTACTGTTTTCTTGGCCTGAGTACCAAGGTGTGTTAATGTTTACTGTTGTTGGCCCACAGTACAGGGTGTATTAATGTTTGTTGTTGTACAGTACAAGGTGTGTTAATGTTTACTGTTGTACAGTACAAAGGTGTGTGTATTTACTGTTGTTGTTGGCACAGTACAAGGTGTGTTAATATTTGCTGTTGTTGTACAGTAGGGTGTGTTAATGTTTACTGTTGTTGGCCACAGTACAGGGTGTGTTAATGTTTACTGTTGTTGGCCACAGTACAAGGTGTGTTAATGTGTACTGTTTTTGGCCACAGTACAAGGTGTGTTAATGTTTACTGTTTTTGGCCACAGTACAAGGTGTGTTAATGTTTACTGTTGTTGGCCACAGTACAAGGTGTGTTAATGTTTACTGTTGTTGGCCACAGTACAAGGTGTGTTAATGTTTACTGTTTTTGGCCACAGTACAAGGTGTGTTAATGTTTACTGTTGTTGGCCACAGTACAAGGTGTGTTAATGTTTACTGTTGTTGGCCACAGTACAAGGTGTGTTAATGTTTACTGTTGTTGGCCACAGTACAAGGTGTGTTAGTGTTTACTGTTTTTGGCCACAGTACAAGCAGTACAAGGTGTGTTAATGTTTACTGTTGTTGGCCACAGTACAAGGTGCGTTAATGTTTACTGTTTTTGGCCACAGTACAAGGTGTTGACAGTCGTCACCTTCATCATGCTGCTGGTTGGATCTGGTTATATCCTCGCCCATGGACTGGAGGACTCCCAAGCTTTCCCCGTCATCCAGGAAGCCATGAGGAATTTAATTTATCAATACCAATGGGATATGAACTCTAGGAGGACTGTCGACATTATCCAGGAATATGTGAGTCCTTTATCTTACCATTAGTTAAATTATATGACCTGTAATGAACTTAACTTGGTTAACGTATCTTACCTGTAGTTAACTTATCTTAGCTGTAGTTAACTTATCTTACCTGTTGTTAACTTATTTTACCTGTTAACTTATCTTACCTGTAGTTAATTTATCATATCTGTTGTTAACTTATTTTATCTATAGTTAACTTATCTTAGCTGTAGTTAATCCACTACCTGTAATTCGCTTGTTACCTGTAGTTAACTCACACACCTATTTGCTGTATGGATTTAAACAAAGGTGTTTCTCTGTCACAAAACTTAATGTTCATTTTTTGTATAAATTAGTGGTCAATGTAGTGAAACCCCTTGTCAGTTCGTGATTACTGCTCAGCACACAGCTTCCTCAGAGAGAGTGTTAGGTTTGGTGGCGAACATCATCTCACGAGAGGGTGTAAAGAACTTGACCTCACATACTGTGCCTACAGAGGGTGATCACACTTTACCTGGTAACGATAACCTCACAAAACATGACCACTAGGGATGACCTGGCCACGAGATATGAGTAGCCTACCATAAAGATTTTAATATTTAGTTACTTGATGAACAAAGGCAGAACATTTCATACAGAAAACTCAGATCAAATAACACGGACCCCAAATGGATAAATAATTATTTAAAGAATATTATTGGACAAAGAAAGGCTGTAGGTTGGAGAATAGATCGTGGTGACGTTTACTTTCGCGATTATTATAAAGTATTGGCAAGTAGGGTTAAGACCGAGATAAGAAAAGCAGAGAGGAATAATGAACAAAAAGTAGCAAGACAGGCGAAGTCAAACTAAAACACTAGACAAGATCGGACTAATACACTGACAGTCAGTTACCGGCGAACTAACCGATAACGAAGGAGAATTGATCAATAATCTGAATAGATGTTTTTCCTAAAATTTCACCACCGACTGTCAACAGAGATAGTAAAGAAATAGATTAAACGAGTTAGGAGCGACTAGTAACAATGTTAATAAGCAAATAATTAAACTGGCACCTTGTAAGTCTCCAGATCCCAATGACATATTTGCCAGAGTATTAAAGGAATGTAAGGAAGAACTTAGTACTGTATGCCCTTAGCAAATTGTTTAATATGTCATTAAAAACGGGTGTAGTACCAGAATCCAGGAGGATAGCAAATGTTATACCGATTTTCAAGAACGGAGATAGATCACTATCCTCTAACTACCGTCCAATTAGTTTAACATCAATTGTAGGCAAATTGTGGAAGCAATAATTTCAAACTCAATTCGAAATCACCTGTAGAAGCACAAGTTGATCAATGATTCCAACCATGGCTTCATAAGTAGGCCTTCATGTCTGACAAATCTACTATCATTCTTTTCAATTTTTTCCAGTCAATGGATGACACACGATTTCGATGTACTGTAGGTTACCTTTACCTTAGCAAAGCCATCGACAGGGTCCCCCATGAGAGACTAATATGTATAGTGGAGGCTCATGGAACTGGAGATTTTCTAAACTGGATTAGGGCGTGACCAAGTCCCAGGTTGCTGATCTGACTTTCTGCCTCATTTACACACAATTGCAGGGTCTCAATTGTTTCTCTTACTTTGACAACACAACATACTGTATATATATCGTTTCTCAGTCTTGATTTTTATTTTTATTTTTGTATTTCTTTATGGTTTATTATTATTATTATTATTTTTATTTATTTTTATTTTTTTTCTATTATTATTATTATTAGTTTTATTATGATTTTTATTATTGTTATTATTATTATTATTATTATTATTATCCATGACAGGTGGGGTGTTGTGGTGGCTACTCTGCTAGTGACTACACCGACATTCATATGCCCATACCAGACACCTGCCGGGACCAGGTGAGTGTATTTTAGCTCTTATCACTTGCATAAAGATTCGTTTTATGCCAAAACGATTTCTTAAAGCTGATTTTTTCCAAAGTGGGCAGGGCCTTGAAGGCGAGTAAAATGTGGGGATAAACACATTAAAATTCCAAACAAACCTTTGAAAACCCGACCTAACCTTTCCTAACTATAAACAGCATAAAAAACATATTTTGATAATAAAGTTCCCGTTATAGCATCAAACGATTGTTTACCACAACTTTTTGACTGTTAATACATATTAACTGTTCTTACCTATTAAATGTTAGTACCTGTTAACTGTTACTTCTTCGATTGTCCATCGACGATGATCACCCCCTCCGTGCATGACTCTGTGTCTCCTCCCAAGGTCTATAGATGAGGTCGTCATCCGCGCGCAGGAAGAGTAGAGCTTTGCCGACGTCACTAGAAAGACTCCGGCCCCTCCCCTGTCTCTCACCCCTTATAAACAGAACATTTATGGTTCCACACACTGTACTTTGTTATTTCAGTATCTCATAGAAAATAATACTAGTCGAGTGTCTAATCTTGCATATAACTTTAGCTAAGGGCACCAATCAATGCAGTGGGTGATGCAGAATATAAATAATGCATCGCTGCATTTCTAGGCTCAATATTGAACCAGAGGTGTTTTATGCAGCTATTGCAGTATAAAAGTGAATCTATCGATGACCGTGGACGTCTCCATGTTTTATTTTTTGAAGAAACAAGTGTTCCAAAGGAATGGACTTAAGACAAAGCACCTGATAACCTCTATGCACCCAAAAAGCGAGTTCAGTGTGCAGTGTTACGAGGAGTGATTGGCTCATGGAAGCAACTTATATATTATAATTTTGATACTTATTTGACCAAGGATATTTTGTACGACTTAATTGTAAAGGCAGAAGCAGCTGGATATCCAGTAGTTATTGTAGTTAATTTATTTTAGTACCACTAATGTGACATTGTAGAATACCCTGCAGGGTTTGGGTATAGATAAGTCCTCTTTCAGGTAGGGAAATATTCATAAGGAGTTTTTACTACTTGCCCTGACAAATTTATGAATGAAATTTTGTTTCCTTGACTTTATAAGGGAAAAGTTAAATAAACATCTTAAAACAATCAAATTTATTGTATATATCGACACACAGATCACTTGACTAAATGGTGTCAGTGGTTGCAACGCTTGTCATTTGAGGTCATAACTCATGTCACCTTATTTCTACATTATTAACAAATGAGCACAACAGGGAAGAAAGTACCTCTAGGCGCTGTACATAAATACATAGTTAAAACTGAAATGCATAATTTTTCTTTTAAACTTTCCTTTTTTGGTACTTCGTATATATTCTGTCTCACCCTCTGCATTCACTGGTGTCCTTAGAGTGGTTCTCAACCTTTTTCACTCCATTCCCCCCTTGAGGAATTTTCAACATCCTCGTGGCCTCCTTCATGTTTCCACAAATAATGTTGAAAAATAAAATGCAGATGAAGAGAATACCCTTATTTTATATCAAGGTTGACAATCATCATTATCTTATATTTTGATAGACTTACATGATTGACATAACTGACGTCACTAGACTAGAGTGACTACGAGACAAGCCTCACAGCAAACTTGAATTTGGTTGGGAAAAAGTTCATATGACCTCTGCATTTTTTGTCACAGCTCAATGGGAAGGCTGACATTGTTTCCTTTCAGTCAGGTGACTGATCCGAGGTTGTCACTGACAATGCACAACTCGTGTCCGGGTCCACATCCAGTCGGTTCCGGCTTTTACTCCTTTGAATGTAGAAGGGTGGAGAAACAAGATTCGCATAAATAGGTAGTTGAAAAAGGCAAGAGGACTCGAAGTGCGATCTCGTTAACTTTTGGATATGACTGATACATTGAGCACCAGAATACAGTCAGAGATCTTTCTTCATAGAGATCTTTGGCAGCAGAATCATTCTTGAGATCAAGAAATTCGTCCTGAACATCATTTGGAATGGTAACAATATCAAGAGTGCCAGAGAAAGGATTGCTCACCAATTTCCCATCTTCCTCCTCGAATTCTGGGAAATACTTTTTGAGCTCACTTTCCAAGGATTTCAGGTGCTGAGTGATTTCAGTTTTGAGTGATGGGTCAAGCAGATGATCTTCATTCTCATCAAGAACAGTTGAAAGATTCTCAAACATAGCAACATTTCCTGCATTGACTTTCCTTTGCCAATTCTGGATCTTGGCAAGAAATGCACGAAGACAATCCATGAGGTGAAACACATTTCTGTTCTTGCCCTGCAGCTTGAGATTCAGCCTGTTTAGCTGCTCAAATATATCTGCTAAATATGCAAGACGTGGCTCCCACAACACCTCATTGAAGTGACTTAATAGATCATCTTTCCCTTGCACTTCCAGGATTAACTTAAGCTCTCCCCGAAGTTCAAACACTCGATTCACAACATTGCCCTTGGAAAGCCAGCGCACTTTGGAGCAAAAGAGGAGGGCTTCATGCTCTGAATCCATGTCTCTACAAAGGCTCTGGAAAAAGCGAGAGTTCAGATCTCCAGCTTTCACAAATTTGACATATTTGACCACTGCCTCCAGGATCTTGTAAAGTTCATCAGGGAGGGTTTTCGACGCCAGTGCAAAACGATGGATCGTACAATGGATTCCCTTGGCATTCGGAGCTACTTCCTTGACACGCTTCTGGAACCCCGATTTTGATCCCAGCATCGCCGGAGACCCATCAGTACAGACTCCACAACAATTTTCCCAGCTGATCCTGTTAGCTGTGAAGAAAGAAGACAGCTATTCCATCACATCTACAGCTGTTGTGGTGGTCTCAAGCTGTGTACAGAACAGATATTCCTCCTTGACGTCACACAAGAAAACATACCTAACAAACACGAGTAGCTGTGCACAAGAACTCGCGTCCGTTGACTCATCCAGCTGTATTGCAAACATACCAGTTGGAGATAGTTTGATCTCTTGTATCACTTTTTCCTTTGTCATCTGACATTTCATTAATTCTCCGTTTCACTGTATCGTTTGACAAGGAAATTTGTTGAATTTTACGTTCACTTGCCTCTCCATGAACCCGTTTGACAATTTTTAAAGCACATGGCTTAATTAAAGTTTCACCAATTGTATGGGGCGGCTTTTGCTTTGCTATTTCGAGGGAAACCTCGTATGATGCCTCAACTACACTTACGGTCTGTTGTTGGAAGGCATCACTCTCGTCCAGTCTCTGTTTTCCTAAACTCCGTTCATGGCGCCTGAAGAAATTGGTGTCTCTCCGCATACTGTGGATGGATCGTCATCAGATGATGCTTCAGCTTACTAGGCCTCATAGAATCGTTCCCAACCACTTTGAAGCACAGCACACACTGATGTTTCTCAATGCCATCAGCGAGGATTGATGTAAAACCGTAGTTAATGTATCCATCGATGTACTTCCGCTTCTTAGCAACACTAGTAGCCATCACAAATCTAGAGAAAATAAAGAAGACAGAATGTCAGAACAGACAAACAGACAAGTGATAAAGACTAAAGAATGATTAAGGACAGATAAATAGGACAAGAGTTAGAATGACACACACACACACACACATACATAACACGCCCATGCACTCACATAAATCACACATACAGTCATACACAAACACGCACACAGGTAAACATTCACACTCAAGCTAGCAAGCTGAAGTTTACTTCCTGTAAGCAAGAACAGGCCTCCTTTGACAAGCACTGCCCAACCTGGAAGAATGAGAAGAATAGTAAGTCATACCAATTTAGCACTAAAAATGGTAGGATTATATAAGTAAAGAATGAGTATGAACAACAATGGCACCAATAAATAAGGAAATAATTAATAAAGGAAGTGTACAAATATTTCACCCACGTAAAGCAGCGACCACATGAATAATGAAACAAAATAAGTAACACCAATTATGGAGTATATTATGCTTGAGTCAAGCTCAAACACACTATATGGTTCAGAGACAATACACTCCACTGTTTTCGGTCCTATCACCACTTGCAAAGGGATGACACACGGACAGGGACTGGACCTGTGAAATCTTAAATAATCCGTAAAAAAAAAAAAAATAGCACCAGAGTATGTAAATATTAAAATTGCATTGTCGTTATGATTAAACAAAATGACAAAAAAACTTGCCCATAGTTTCACTTTGCCTGGGAAGCGAAACTTGGTCCACTCGCTTGCGACCGCTCAAGAGGATACAGACGCGCACAGTCAACTTCTCGGAGCCAGAGGTAAGAGCTGGGTGCTCGTGTGGGCCCCAACTGCTCATGAGGATTATCCACCAGCGTAAGACACGGCCATCCCATACACACTGTTACTACCTGTTAACTGTTACTACCTGTTAACTGTTACTACCTGTTAACTGTTACTACCTGTTAACCGTTACTACCTGTAAACTGTTACTACCTATTAACTGTTACTACCGTTACTACCTGTAAACTGTTATTACCTGTTAACCGTTACTACCTGTTAACTGTTACTACCTGTTAACTGTTACTACCTGTTAACTGTTACTACCTGTTAACCGTTACTACCTGTAAACTGTTACTACCTATTAACTGTTATTACTGTTACTACCTGTTAACCGTTACTACCTGTTAACCGTTATTACCTGTTAACTGTTACTACCTGTTAACTGTTACTACCTGTTAACTGTTATTACCTGTTAACTGTTACTACCTGTTAACTGTTACTACCTGTTAACTGTTACTACCTGTTAACCGTTACTACCTGTAAACTGTTACTACCTATTAACTGTTACTACCGTTACTACCTGTAAACTGTTATTACCTGTTAACCGTTACTACCTGTTAACTGTTACTACCTGTTAACTGTTACTACCTGTTAACTGTTACTACCTGTTAACCGTTACTACCTGTAAACTGTTACTACCTATTAACTGTTATTACTGTTACTACCTGTTAACCGTTACTACCTGTTAACCGTTATTACCTGTTAACTGTTACTACCTGTTAACTGTTACTACCTGTTACTACCTGTTAACTGTTATTACCTGTTAACTGTTACTACATTGTTAATCGTTACTATCTGTTACCACCTGTTAACTGTTGTTAACTGTTAACTGTTGTTAACTGTTACTACCTGTTAACTGTTATTACCTGTTAACTGTTACTACCTGTTAACTGTTACTACCTGTTAACTGTTACTACCTGTTAACTGTTACTACCTGTTAACTGTTACTACCTGTTAACTGTTACTACCCATTCTTTATTACTACCTGTTAACCATTACTACCTGTTAACCATTACTACACAATCAACCGTTACTACCTATTGCCGTTACTACCTGTTAACCGTTACTACCTGTTAACCGTTGCTACCTATTCGCCATTTACTACTGTTGACCGTTACTACCTGTTTATTAAATTTACTACCTGACCGTTACATACCTGTCGGCCATTTACTACCTGTTGACCGTTCACTACCTGTTGACCATTTACTACCTGTTGTCGTTACTACCTGTTGACCGTTTACTACCTGTTAGCCGTTACTGCCTGTTAACCGTTAACTGCCTGTTAACCGTTACTGCTTGATAGCCGTTACTACCCTGTTAACTGTTACTACCTGTTAACTGTTACTACTTGTTAACTGTTACCTGTTAACTGTTATTACCTGTTAACCGTTACTACTTGTTAACCGTTACTACCTGTTAACTGTTATTACATGTTAACTGTTACTACATGTTAACTGTTCCTATCTGTTAACTGTTATTACCTGTTAACTGTTACTACCTGTTAACCGTTACTACCGTTACTACTTGTTAACTGTTACTACCTGTTAACTGTTACTACCTGTTAACTATTATTACCGTTACTACCTGTTAACCGTTACTACCTGTTAACCGTTACTACCTGTTAACCGTTACTACCTGTTAACCGTTATTACCTGTTAACTGTTATTACATGTTAACTGTTACTACCTGTTAACTGTTATTACCTGTTAACTGTTACTACCTGTTAACTGTTATTACCTGTTAACTGTTATTACCTGTTAACTGTTACTACATTGTTAATCGTTACTACCTGTTAACTGTTATTACCTGTTAACTGTTACTATCTGTTAACCGTTACTACATGTTAACTGTTATTACCTGTTAACTGTTATTACCTGTTAACTGTTACTACCTGTTAACTGTTACTACCCGTTAACTGTTACTACCCGTTAACTGTTACTACCCGTTAACTGTTACTACCCGTTAACTGTTACTACCCGTTAACTGTTATTACCCGTTAACTGTTATTACCCGTTAACTGTTACTCCCTTTTAACCGTTACTACCTGTTAACCGTTACTACCTGTTAACCGTTACTACCTGTTAACTGTTACTACCTGTTAACCGTTACTACCTGTTAACCGTTACTACCTGTTAACTGTTACTACCTGTTAACCGTTACTACCTGTTAACCGTTACTACCTGTTAACCGTTACTACCTGTTAACCGTTACTACCTGTTAACCGTTATCGGGTGGCAGTGAGGGGTTCCCTTGTGAACTTGACCTCCCTTGGGTCGGGTCAAGTCTGGACCTCTCCTGGGTCTGTAGGGTGTGTCAAATTATGGACTCCTGCTCATCTACAATTATTACATGTGTCGTATTTCTCTGAGCTGCAATCTGTGGTCTGATAAACAATCATTACACCTCCCGCCAAGACCAAAGCTCTCATACCAGAGAACTAATGACATAGAGACGGTAATATCATGTGCAGTATCTAAAATAGTCCCTGAGGCGATAATACAAACTCACATTTACAAACAATAAGCTTAGAGATGTATGTTTTTCTACAGGCTTAGTTTGATCTGACCTAGCTTTCTATACCTCCCGTCAAGATCAAAGCTTCTATGACAGGAGGAAAAAAACACATACACAGTGAGTGAACATATCTAGCACAGTATCCGAGACAAACTTGCAAATCACATTCTACAAACAATAACAGGTGTTACTTCGCCTTACCAGGCCGTGTCAAAGTAATGATTCGTCCCAGTCAGTAATATGGCTACAACATTGCATTTGGTAGTACAAAACATTGATCAAATGACCTCGTAGGAAAAAGTGACTAATCTTTCTTAAATAAAAAAAACATTCTTTGTAGTAAATGTTAACAGAAATCAGAGAATGAAATATTTCAAAATACACAAAAAATGCGCCTACTTCACATGTTAGGGTGTTATCTCTTTTTATTAAACATCGCCAAGAGCCATACAGTAGTGTGGTCCAGCATGGCTCACGTCCTCCATCCAGCTGGTATCCTGTTAACTGTCACTAACTGTTAACTGTTGTTCTTAACACAAACGGTTCTGCTTCTCCTCCTCGTCTACTACAGCCCAGGCTTCCCCTCCACAGGTTACCGGGAACCAGTACGGTGATTCGTGCGCTGAGATCTTCTCCCAGTATCTGGAGGTCCGGACCGGGTGGATCACTGGCTTGTCCCTGAGTCTCTGCTTCTTCCAAGTGAGTCTTATGTTTCTTTTTTCTGGGCTCATAACCTAACCTAATCTAATCCAACCAAATTTAACATCGTCTAACCTAACATAACCAAATTTAACCTAGCCTAACTTAACCTAACCTGAGTCTGTTTCTTCCAAATGAGTCTGTTTCTTTTTTCTGGGAACCTAACCTAACCTAACTTGAATCTCTCTGCCTTCCCCTGGCCCTTAGCCTCAACTTTGCCCATTAATGTTATTTCCGTTATTATTCCCCCATCCCTAATTATATAACTAAAGTACATTTAAAATGTTTATCTTGAAGTTTTTACTAATCTTAGGACGTTTTCATTTGTTTCCTGTCAGTATAGCTTATTCAGTTATTCTTAGCATTCGCCTGTAACCACCACATTTCAAAGGCCTCTAGCCTCTTTCTGGTGTCTGCTGAAAGTGTCCACTCTTCTGGCCCTTTTCAATGGGTTCTCTTTGATTATTGAATGTTGTTTTTGCTTGTTTCATTCTTATTTTGACTGCTTCCGTACATCTAGCATCACCGCTAATATTATTCCCAAATAGAGTATACAATTTTCCACTTGTTGAAGCTCCCTGTTGCCTGATATAATTTTTAATTTAAGATTTATATCCAATTTATAAACAACCATTAATTTAGTCTTTACAGAATTATCTCTTCAACCATATTCTTCAGCTTTTCCCATTAATCTGTTAACAAATTTCTGTAACGCCTCTACTATCTGTGATAAGATCAGTATCATCTGCATAGCATATATTTTATATAGCTTTACCATTAACTTTTAGTACTTCATTCATACTTATAATTTATCTCATTACGAATTCTAAATATATATTATACAGTGTTGGAGATAGAGCATAGCCTTGTGTTACTCCCTGTCTAACTGTGAACTAATTGGTAAGCTCATTATTTTCTAACGCTGTAGCCTCCTTTTGCCTACAAAGATTCTTTAAAATTCTAATATCTCCTTCATTTTTTTTTATCCTCTTCGCCACTGATCGGCTCGCTAGCCACCCGGGCGATCGGTCACGTCTCTGTCACGCACTGTTGGCAAATATCGGCCATGCACTGGCTCCTGAATGTACCTGAACCTGCTCCAGTGGTGGTCAAGTCTTGTCTTGAAAGAGCTCACACTCGGTGCTGTCACAACACTGGTAGATTGTTCCAAGAGTTTACAACCCTCACTCCAAAAAAGTTTGCCCTCACAGTTTTCTGGACTTGTGGGGCGAGCGTCCGCCAGCTCCAAGTAAGGACACTCAACTGAGTAGTGCCCTCTGAGATGCTTATACACCTCAACTAGGTCACCCCTTGCCCGTCTGTAATATAAGCTAGGCAAGTTCAGGCGCTCCAATCTCTCAGGGTAGCTGAGGTGCCGAAGTGCAGGCACCAGTCTGGTGGCCCTCCTTTGAACATTTTCAACCAACTGACAGTCCCTAACATATCTCGGGGACCAGATGAGGTGACAGTACTCCAGATGGGGAAGCACTTCACTCTTGAAGATCGTTACGAGGGACAGACCGTCTAGATATCTGAACGACCTTCTTATAAGACCCAATAATTTATTTGCCTGGTTTACCTTCTTCTCGCAATGGCCCGAGAACTTCAGCTCATTGTCAACATACACACCTAGGTCCTTCTCACATTCAGTCTCAACTAGTGTAGTTTCTTCATCCCGTTGGGATATATGATACGCCTCCTTACCGTTGGTACGCCCCAGGTGCATCCTCTTACACTTCGTGACATTGAATCTCAGCAACCATTTCTTCGACCATTCCTGGAGCCCACAGATTTAATGCCTATTTTGTCCAAGGTGTCTGTCTGGAAACATACGTTTTGAAAGCATGACGTTCTGCATTATATAATCAACTCGGATATCGCTCTGTAGGAATATTTTTGGCAAATTCTCATGTGGGCCTAAACATGACCAGAAGATTAGAAATATCATCACACTCAGGTTGAGACATAACAACTGCATTAGTGCATTTTTTTAACAAACAACAAAATAAGTTCAGTTCAATACAGTACTGTTATTTCTTCTTCTTTTCAGTTCTTCTCTATGATGTTTGCCTTCTGCATATGGCAAGCGATCAAGGAGCTCAAGCACCCTAAATAACGTCGTCCTTCCGGTTTTCAAGGTGACGAAGCACCAAAATTTATAATGTATTTTGTAGTGTAGTTTAGTGTAGTGTACACAGTGTGACGAGACACCTTCACAGATTCAGATATAAAACAGACATTCTGAATTTAGTATTCTGTCATGTAGGATTAAGAATTAATAATAATTTGATACTTTTGTCAATACTCTCCAGTATTGTAGTTAGATAAGCATTTTTACATACTGTACATGTGTTGTGGGTCATAATTCTTCATAGCTGCACTTTTTCTACCCACGTAACTCAAAATAGGATAAATATATCTGTATATAAATTGAAGCTAAGCTTAATCATTCCTTTAATATTTTCGTTTCGCCAAAGAACCAGGTAGCTGTGAAGTGTTGAGAAGACTTGAGACCGTCTTGTATTTGCTACACACACACATGGTACATACTGTAGTGTGGGTCTGTCCTAGCCACCTTACCCAGCTGCTTATTTACTTTGCATCTTAAAATATACAATATATATATATATATATATATATATATATATATATATATATATATATATCTGGTATTTGATTTTTTTCACCCAATGTGTATTTACAGTTCTTGAGATAATCACGGTTTGAAGAAAATTCTTCTTCCCAGTTCCTTGGTGGGATAGCTCCTGTACAAATTATTGTTCAAATAGTTAATCTGCCAAATAATGTAAGTGCTTTCTTGTTTTGCTGGAGGAATAATTATACCGATATATTGCATTATGGATTATGTGTCATCTTTGATATATAGTAATTGTTAACACTGGGTCATGGAAGTTGTCACCAGTGAATATAAGATATTTCTGATAAAAATGTACAGGTTTCTCCATGCCAATTTCATGGTTATTATCTCTCTTGAATAAATCAAAATGAGACAAATGTTTTACATTATTATAGACTTCATGTTAATATGTAAGTTACTTGCTGTTAATGATGTTTTATTGCACCAAGTTGTCAAGTGAGCAGTCACGGGTGCTAGTCATTAAAACACCTCACTGAAGGCTGAGGTAAGGTGAGGGAGCATTATTATCCTCCATTGTTGTAAGCAGAACCAGATCAACACCAAGGAGCTAAATCATGTTTTTGACTTTTTGCAATAAAAAAATGTAGAAATTTTTGTATAATAGTTTCTTTTCAGTTAAAATAATAAATTTGCACAGCTATGTTTTTGTAGAAGTTCATGTTCAATGGACATGAGTTCAGGTGATGTTGTTGAGGCACACGCTGTTAAAAGAAATAAATAAACTTAGATGTATAATACTGTAATAAAGATAAACTATAAACACAATACGTGCCAACACCAAGATGCTCATGATGTAATAATTTTAGCACAAAGAAAAACTATCACAGCAAAGAAAAATACTGACAGTAATATTTGCACCAAGAAACATCTCCAATAACAGGACCTTCAACGTCACATGTGAGAGGGGCCGCTGTGGATCCACTGTAGCCAGTAATGCAGCCTTGTTCATCAGTGTTACCAGCAACAACCTTTCTTCCATTAGTCTTCATAATTCCATAAGAAACTTAGAAGGTCTAAGTTAATTATTTTTCATAAATTATTATTCCCTCATAAATCTTAAATATATGAAAGTATTTTGCTGTTTTTTTTTAAATAGTAAGTCTTGTAAACCATATTGTCTTTATATTTAGCAAAGTTCACCCCTTTGGCAGCAATAGTTAAGAAGATCGTATGACCAACTTAAGGTTGTAAAAAGATGATGTAGTGGATACTCTTCCCTACAACTGCCACTGCCGTTAGTCGCTGATCAGCCGATCCCGTGACGAAGTTTCTCTGACAAGCCTAGCCGCCTAGACTGGAAGTCGACACCGGCGACGCTTACTTCCGGTGGCCGTGTATACAAGCTCCCAGTCTCGCCGTGAAGTCCTTTCTACCTAGAGCTCTGCAACACGCAACACCTTCTCTGAAGAAGCTCCTGCACGGCACCTCCTCTACCACACAGCAACTCTCCAGCACCAGACTGTTTTGTATATAATATATTTATATAAGAAAACCACCATAGCTGAGTTTCCCTTCTCATCTCCATCCTATGTGCGATTCAACATCACGAAACCCCACAATGTTAAAAATGACAAACAGAGACGGTTGTGATACTCAATAATATTAAACTGTGTCTTTATTATGTATAGAATGCATCAAACAATGCTACAATATCCGTTGCTTCTTCTGTAGAATTATAAATATTTGTTTTAATATATTAAGTCCTGTTTTAAATCATGTGACTAATTGTTTTATGACTGTACCTCAAAGTAAGATTTTGGACGGGATTCCATTTGACCAATCACTAACCTTGTATGACTTTCTCCATCGACCGGTCCTGGTGAACCTTAGGGTCCTCAGTCCTGGTGAACCTTAAGGCCCTCAGTCCTGGTGAACCTTAAGGCCCTCAGTCCTGGTGAACCTTAAGGCCCTCAGTCCTGGTGAACCTTAGGGTCCTCAGTCCTGGTGAACCTTAAGGCCCTCAGTCCTGGTGAACCTTAAGGCCCTCAGTCCTGGTGAACCCAAGGGCCCTCAGTCCTGGTGAACCCATGCCCTCAGTCCTGGTGAACCTTAAGGCCCTCAGTCCTGGTGAACCTTAAGGCCCTCAGTCTGGTGAACCTAGGGTCCTCAGTCCTGGTGAACCTTAAGGCCCTCAGTCCTGGTGAACCCAAGGCCCTCAGTCCTGGTGAACCTTAAGGCCCTCAGTCCTGTGAACCTTAGGTCCTCAGTCCTGGTGAACCTAAGGCCCTCAGTCCTGGTGAACCTTAAGGCCCCTCAGTCCTGGTGAACCTTAGGGTCCCAGTCCCGGGAACCCTAGGTCCTCAGTCCTGGTGAACCTTAAGGCCCTCAGTCCTGGTGAACCTTAGGTCCTCAGCCCTGGACCTAAGGCCCTCAGTCCCAGAACCTAAGGCCCTCAGTCCGTGAACCTTAGGGTCCTCAGCCCTGGTGAACCTTAAGGCCCTCAGTCCTGGGAACCTAGGGTCCTCAGTGGTGAACCTTAGGTCCTCAGCCCTGGTGAACCTTAAGGCCCTCAGTCCTGGTGAACCTTAGGGTCCTCAGTCCTGGTGAACCTTAGGATCCTCAGCCCAGAACCTAAGGCCCTCAGTCCTGGTGAACCTAGGGTCCCTCAGTCCTGGTGAACCTTAGGTCCTCAGTCCTGGTGAACCTAGGGTCCCCGGCCCTGGTGAACCTTAAGGCCCTCAGTCCTGGTGAACCTTAGGTCCTCAGTCCTGGTGAACCTTAGGTCCTCAGCCCTGGTGAACCTTAAGGCCCTCAGTCCTGGTGAACCTTAAGGCCCTCAGTCCTGGTGAACCTTAGGGTCCTCAGCCCTGGTGAACCTTAAGGCCCTCAGTCCTGGTGAATATATTCAGGAAAGAAACTGTCTGTTGCTTGTGTGTTAAACTGTAGTTGAGGACTAAAAAAAAAAGTCACTAAAGTATTAAAGATAGATGAACCAAATGCTACAGTATATCAACAACTGTCACCTTTCACTGGTGACAACACAGACTGCTCCCCATTGCTGGTAATGATGTAGATTTGTGATTAATTTTATCCCTCCGTAAGATCGAACATTTCTCATGTTAGCTAACTGATGGTA